ACCACAGCATTATTTCAATCTTGAACAATGTGTAGCGAGGTGTCTAAGTGTCTTTTGGCCAGCTTGGAGGAAAGCTTGCTGTGCACTGACTGATGTGTTCTTGATTTATATAATCAAGCCAAAAGCTGAGACTTATTGGTCTTTTTATGTCTTTTTCAGACAGTGTGAGATGGAGTGAGGTCTTTGGCAATATGGGCATCCCTGATTCTTGGCTGAACCTTGAATGTCCTGACATCAGCGGCATGCGATGTACATTCCAAACCTCGAAAGACACACCTTGCCCAGGAGGACAAGATACGTCAGGCGCTGATCATTGGCAACTGGACCAACTTTGAGAAGGCGTTTCAATCGATGCTGGAAACTTGAGGACAACATTCTACAATGATACAGGCTTTGATTTGGTCACAGGTGGTGGGCTTGTGCTTCGGAGAAGCGAGGGAGCCCAATATAGGCTGGGCCTTTGGCAAGTGGGCATCCACAAAATTCAATGATGGGAAGCAGACCACGGTCATCTTTATTTGAAAGAACGTCGCTGCCACATTGGACGAGGGGCAAGTTGCACTGTGGAAGCAGCAGTCTTAGCTACAATGACCATCAACCACCACTTCGAGTTCTTTATCGAAGGATTCAAAGCAGACAGGTGAGCCCAAATGCCTCGTAATCCAGAGCGACAAAGATGGCATTGACCATCCAAGGAAAGGAAACTGTCCTGCATGATCTGCATGGCAATGGCATCATTTGTATAGAATTTGTATAGACCTGCAAGATGTTCACCAGGTGATCCAACAAAGATGGCGGCAAATTTTGACGTTTTCTGATTTGGGACGCAGCTCTGGCTTCAAATGCAGCAGCAGGACTAATGAAAAAAAAACGGCGCTGCGTAGGGCACTGCCATGAGGTTGACTTGATGCGGTGTGTCGAACTTGGTCCAAGCCAAGCTTGGGCTACAGCTGGAAGTGAAGTCATGAGGAGCTCATGAGTGGTTGCGAGGGCATAGCATAGCATAGATGAGTATTGGTTCAATACTGTTTCCTCTCACTGACTTGTGCTGGGCAGCTGTGTGCTGCATGTTTGACACAGATGTGCCCCTCAGACACCGAGATCGAAAGCAGAGAAAAATGTTTGGCACCCACGTTTTGCCATGCCACGTTTCTGAAAGAGCTGCTTAGCCTTTAGAGTCTTGTTGAAATGGAAGGAACGCTTTGATGCTGTTCTGGTTGAAGATTGCGTCTGTGGGATTTCCTTGGACAGCAATCTGGAGTTCAGCCAGAGGACGGGATGAATCACTGACAACGATGGACCCGTTGTTGCAAGATGTTGCAAACATGAACTGAAATGCGTGTGTTTACAGCTCCACTTCAGTCTAGATGACGGATGAATATAAGTGTGGCATAGTGAGGCTACGAATGGCTGCAATGGGATAATAAAGGCAAGAAGACTGCACAAGCTGCAGAATTTGAAGCCACACTGTCCGACAAGAAACATGCACTGAAGCGACTGCGACTGAGGCTCGCTTCACTGCAGCTGGTCAACAGCAGGCAGAAGTGCTGTCGTGTTATGATGGTTCATCGATGTTTCTATCTGAAAATTTGACTGTTTGATTGCAGTATACTCGGTATATATTTGGAGGATGCAAGATTATACGTGGAGTTTTCATTCTATTTCATTCTAAAGTGCGAGGTCTTTCACTTCATCGACTCAAAGCTTAGCTCAGAAGATGAAGTCAAAACATTGCTGTCACAGTGGGGGGCTTGGCTTCGGAAGCTAGCTGAAGCAGAGTCAGGCAGAGAGAGAGAGAGAGAAAAAAAAATCTCTGTTTACATTTTTCATACAAGAGTTTTCCCAGAGCAACAGTATCAAGATGGACCAAAGTGAGGATCCATAATATGGATCCATTGGGTTGGAAAAGGATGAAATGGGGAGGCATTCTGAAGCTCATGAGGTGTGCGTGAATAAGAAGAATGGTTTGCCAAGCATTTCTTTGCGAGTCGCCATTCGCTCACATTCATGATTCTCATTGATTCACGAATCGCTCATGACTGTGCATTACACTACAGTATGCGTGACAGACTGGTGCTGGAAAATGTGCAACCCAAGGCTTGCAGATATAGATTTGGAGTATGTGGCAAATAGCTTGAAGTGCGCCCGTGGGCTGATGATAGCCGTGTAGCGGGTCATGCACAGAGGCTAAGACTGGGCAAGACCTTACACAGTGAAAAGACATGAGTAGACTTTCTCCTATAAAGCAAAGATGGGTCTTCTATATACAGTATACAGTTTGCTTTGTTGTTGTTTATGTTTTTTTGTTCTGACAACGCTGATGGCAAGCTGGCATCCGTTAGACACGGAGGATTCCCCAATGCAATTTGAAATTTTTGATTGCTGAGGGCAGTTCAAGCATTTTGATAGCTGTTGGGCAGCTGTTGGATCATGCAGGAGCGCCCAAGCAGAAGTGGCTGCAATTGCTGAGGTCCCATGGAAGGGTTGGGAGGTCCATTGCTGGCAAAATCCTCATGGAGCAACGAGTCAAAACGCTCCAAAACTTGGTAGGTGAACATCGAGGGGGTATCTATTCAATCTATTCCACGCTAAGCTATTCTCGCGCTCACTTTCTGGTTGCAAGAGAAAGCGAGATCGAAAGAGATGCCAGCAAACAACCGCACAGGACAGTGTGGGAACATCTCGAAACCTTTGAAACGATTCAGAAACTTCTGGAGTGAGTGACCTTTGTCCAGCACATAAACACTACCATGAGTATTCCATGAGTAGTGTTTGAACATGT